CCGGACGGGCGGGGACCCGGAGAGACGCACTGGGCGCGACAGATGGAGGAGGGAGGGACAAGGAAACAGCCAGATGGAGAGAGAGAGAGAGATGGAGAGAGAGGGGGAGATGGTGAGAGAAAACGAAGAGAGAACGATAGGAAAGGGCAGAGAAATAAAGGCAGACGGTTAGAGAGAGGACAGCGGGAAGAAGAGAGAGAGAAAGGTAGGGACCGAGACAGGGACTACGGAGATAACGGGTGGGTGTGAACTATGAGCTATGAACTGCGATGGAAAGAAAAAGGAGTTTGAGAGGCAAATGGAACAAGAGGGAAAGAAATAGAGGAGCTAACATGGCAAGAGAAGTGGGTGGGGGAGAATCTACAAGAAAAGAGGAAGGTTTGAGACCAAAGGGAAGAGAGATTGTGGGGAAACCCCAGGTCTGAAGGAGAGAGCGGAGGCGACAGGGGTCACAGGGTGGGAGGCCAGCCTGCAGGTGGGGCAGCCCCCCTCATCCCCCCGCCCCAGGATCAACAGAGGCTCCTGGCCTGGCTCCCCGGGACTTGGAGACCCAGCTTCAACACGCCCATGACCCAGCCAGGCAGGGCGGGGCAGGCGGGCGGGCCCAGGAGGAAGGCCCCTGCTTCACCTGTCAGGTGGCCTGAGGGGGCTGGTAGCTGGGGTGAGGCAGCCAGTCCCCAGGCTGCAGGAGAGGTCCCTGAGAGCCTGGGGAGGGTGCGGGAGGGAGAAGCGTGTGGGTGCTCTGCTGGCTGGTGCTTTGTCTTGCGCTGTCCCCTCTGCCCTTCTCAGGTGAGGCTCAGGTCAGGTGGCTGCAAGTGCATTTATTTTTGTACACACAGACGCTCTGCCTATTGTACTGTATGTTACAGTTTACAAGCCACATTCCCATTTCCGACGTCTCATGAAGGCCTCGGCCAGGGCAGCTGGTGCCCATCCCAGTTGTCCAGGTGAGGGGAAGGCTCAGGTCTCACCAAGGTGCCAAGGCAGAGCCCTCACGAAGCACCCAGCCTCCTGCCCCAGGCCAGGCTGCTCCCCCATCAACCTGGAGTCAGTGGGTGTTGAGTCACCCAGACCAAGTGCCCTGCACCAGGATGGAAGGCCCCAACCCCAGACCCCCTGGGGGTATAGCGAGCTGTGGGGGTACGCACCAGGGGAAGAATCGGGCCAGTCCTGAACCTGGGCAGCCCTGGCTGAGTAGCCCTGGGTATGTCACTCCACCCCTCTGAGGCTGTTGGGGAGAAAGGTACCCACCCCATAGAGTTGACTGGGGATTGGAGGAAAGAGAAAGTGCCAGATGTATCAGCACACACTGGCTCCTTCTCCCTCCCCTCAGCAGCCCCACTGCTCCCTCTGAGCCTCAGTTTCTTCACCTGGTAGGAGGACCTCACAGGCTGTGTAAGGAGTGGCTCAGCACAGTCCTTCTCCCCCCGCTCCCCACAGCCCCCTCCTCCTGGAGCTGAGGAGACAAAGCAGGGTCTGTGTCCCCAGAAGGAGTTGGCCACCTGCCCACTAATGGCTGACGTACGGTGGCCCCTTTAGGCTCAACTGGCATAGAGCCTTTAACGTAAAACCACTTCAAAAACATTATTTTCTTCCTGGTTATGCATGCTCATTGCTAAAGATTAAGTAAGAAAAAGGATAGTAATGAAAAAAATAAAATTAAATTAAAAAAATATATTAAAATTTAAAAATAGAAAGGAGGAAAGTATAAATGCAATTTCACACTGAGTTCACACATTTTTGTGTATAACCTTTCAAACTTCAGACAATGTACCATTGTTTTTCTTAACTTTTAATTGTGGAATCGTTGGATATAAAGGCATACCTCAGAGATATTGTGGGCTCGGTTCCAGACCACCACAATACAGTGACTATTGTAAAAGAGTGAGTCACATAATTTTTTTTGGTTTCCCAATATATATAAAAATTATATTTATACCATGTCTTAGTCTATTAAATGTACAATAGCATTATGTCTAAAACCCCAATAATTTAAAAATATTTTATTGCTAAAAAAAATGCTAACCATTATCTAAGCTGTCAGTGAGTCATAATCTTTTTGCTGGTGGGGGCTCTTGCCTTCAACCTGTAAGAAATGCAATATCTTTGAAGTGAAATAAATCGAGGTGTGCCTGTAAAACAGAATAGTACAATTAACCCCATGTACCTATCACCCAGCTTCAATAAGTGTCAGTTCATGGCCAGCCTTGTCTCATCCATTATCCCATCCTTTCTCTCCTCTCACAAATTATTTTGAAGAAAATTCCAGACATTATATATATATATAATTTTTTAAAAATATATTTTTATTGATTTCATAGAGGAAGGGAGAGGGAGACAGAAACATCAATGATGAGAATCATTGATTGGCTGCCTCCTGCATGCCCCCCAGCCCACAACCGGGCATGTGCTCTGACAGGGAATCAAACGGTGACCTCCTGGTTCATTGATCCAAACACACTGGCCAGGTTATTTTTATTTCTAAAGATTTCCTGATGTATCTCTAAAAGATAAGTAACCTTTTAATAAACATAAGTATGATACCATTATCATAACATAAAAATGGACAAAAATCCCTTACTATCATCAAATATCCAATCAGGGTTCAAATGTCCCTGATTATGTCATGTTTTTCTATTTGGTTAGTTTGGTCCAAATAAGGTGCATACATTGCTTTTGGTTGAGATGTCTGATGAGTTTCTTTAAATATGTAAGTTCTCTTCTCCTATTTGGTTGTTGTTGTTGTTTTTCTTAAAATGTATTCGTTGAAGAAACTGGGTTGTTTGTCCAGGAGCTTTCCACATACAGATTTTAGCTGGTTGCATCCCCCAGGTGTCATTTAAATGTTCTTTTCACCCCTGTATTGTCTTTAAACTAGTAGTTAGATCTAGAAGCTTGATCTAATTCCAGTTAGAATTTTCCCCCCAAGAATACTTAAAGACACTCTAGGTCTCCAAATGTTGAGTGATGACTCCTTGGTTTGGCTTTTCTTTTTATTTCAGAGAGTAAGGAAGAGGGAGAGAGAGATAGAAACATCAGTGATGAGAGAATCATCAATCAGCTGCCTCCTGCATGCCCCACACTGGGGATCGAGCCCACAACCCAGGATAGGATGACGCTCAACCACTGAACCACGCCGGCCGGGCTAAGACAGTTTTTACTGCTTTCATTTGCATCTTTGATTAACTACCAAGATTGGACTTTTTCTTCAAATACATATTGGGCATTTCTACTAAATCACTTTTACTTTTTCAGTCGTGGTGTTGGGATAGTTCATATTGGTCTGTAAAAGCTCTTTAGTATTGAGTGAGGCAAACTGTTTTGTGTCACTTGTAGAGAACTTTTTTTAGGTTCAGGCTTGGCTGAGTTCCTCTCCTGTTTTGCTCTCAGAGGGATCTGAAGTCCCAGAGGCTGGTCCTTTCGGCCACTATCCCCATTGTCACCCGTGCCTCGGGGCCCATCGGGGAAGCTCTCACTCTCCATCACCGACCACTCCAGGTCCCTGTGGGCATCTGCCTTCCCATGGAGCCTGCTTTTTGCTGTGGGTGGAAGAGGAAGGTACTGAAGGGCTGTGGTGAGGATCCCAGCATTTCTTCTTACAAAAATAGATGTTGTGGGGAGGGGAACACTCAAGACAGTGGGGTCCAAAGCCCCAACACATGTGGCTCTTGTGGGGCTTAAGACAGCTGCAAGGGTGTCAGGTGTATAGGCCCCCACACCCGTCCAGCCCTTCATTTTATAGAAGAGGCACCTGAGGCCCCAAGTGGGAGGCCTTTGACTTACACAAGGTCACACCACTGTCAAAGCACAGTATAGACAGTGTCAGGCAGGTTGAATCCAAATCCTGTCCTCACCACTTACTAGCTGTGTAGTCTGGGGCATCAACATCTTTGATCTTGGTTTTCTAAACTGTAAAAAAGAGATGCAAGAGTTCTGAGCTCACAGCTGGAATTAAATGAGATAATGCATTTAAGAACTCACCTAACCTTGGCACATAGTAAGTGAGCACAAGTCAGGAGTAGCTTCGAGGAGCCCATCGGTGTGGCTCAGTGGTTGAGCATTGACTCGACCTCTTAGTCAGGCGGTCACGGCTCAATTCCCAGTCAGGGCACATGACCGGTTTGCAGGCTCAGTCCCCAGTAGGGGGAGTGCAGGAGGCAGCTGATCAATGATTCTCTCTCATCATTGATGT